TCTGTGCACAGACAAAGTGTGCCAGCCAGCAGCTGCTGGGATGACATCACACAAGGGGAGTTTGTTTCTCCACCTGGAAAAAAGCTGCTCCTTCCTTGCTCTGAGCTCTCCCCTGGGACGGTAGTCATGGCAACGAACCAGGTGCAGATCAACAGTGAAGCAGAGCTCAAGAGGCCCCTTAACATCATGGTCTGAAAAGTCTGCTTCCTACCCTTCTATCCTTGTTTAAATTTTGTAACATCCAGCCTGATGAAGAGTTCTGGTCAGCTCAAAACAGCACAATGTTTTGCGTCAACTGGGTTGGTCCTAGCAAAGGGTGTAACATGGATTTTGTTCTTGTTTTCAGAGTCTTTGTGGACCAACATGATTGTACAACTTTTTCTATCTTAGCCCAGAGACAGCTCTTCCTGGCGAGAGGGGGGGAGCAACTTCCGAGCATGAGCTAGCACAATGACCCTAATGCGCCAATGACGTTTAACTCACACTTTTGAAATTGGCCACACAAGACATGCAATAAAGTCTGTGGGGTATCTTAGGGGCAAAATCCTTGAAGATGGCAGTGGCCATTGACCAGCCATACATATGGGACACAGACCACGGCTCAGTGGTACAAGGTCCCAGGGTTCAGCCATACAGAGAGTCCCAGGGTTCAGCCATACAGAGAGTCCCAGGTTCAACCCTCAGAGTCTCCTATTACAGGAGACTAGCAGAGCTAAGCCCACCTCTGCTTGGATTTGGGGGGTTGCAGCCTGCCAGAGCAGAGAGTATTGGTCTGACTCAGCATATAAAATAACTTAAAATGTCAAAAAGTTTCAGCAGTGTCTTTGGTGGCAGGCACTGGACTGCTGGACAATTTGAGCTCCTTCCAAGGGTCAGTAGAAACCAACTGTGTGAGAAATGCAGTCAGAAGTAGCTGATCTGGCACAGAGATGCAGCAGTGTGCAAACACTATACCATTTCAGTGTCTGCCCTTCGTGTCACAGGGTTGCTAAAGGCACACAGCTTCTGTTAGGGAAAAGAAGACAGCCTTTGCTATTTTCAAATCTAACTGGACCTCGAAGTTCAGAAACTGTTGTTGTTTAAAATAGCAATGAGCACTTCCCACCAAATCACCAGGTCTGTAAGCTGCATGCCTTCTCACATATCCAGGCTTGGCTACTGCAATGTGCTTTGCATGGGGTTGCTGTTGAAGGTTGTTCACAGGCTATCACCAATGCAGAAGAGAAATGGGCAGATGGGAAAGTGGGGTGAGATCCCAATTACATCCATTCTCCAGCATCCATACCAAGCCTCCCCTGCTATCCAGGCACTCGTTTTGGCCTGCACATATGCAGAGAATGAACCTCTCTCTCTAAAAGCTCAGAAATTCAACCTGTGGAGTTCTGGCCCTAAAACCCTCTCTTCAAGGTCATTTTTACAAATAATTTCAAGGGGCAGTCATCTATTTATTATTGATTTTTTAAATGGTACCTTTTCTTCAGACATCTCAGGCACACACAGCCTTCCTTTATGCTCACAATCCTGTAAAGCTGTGCTGAGCTTCACCGCTGAGCCTAAATTTGAAGCTGGGTCTCTCCAGGGAAGATGGGGTATTCTGGGGCAAACAGACTGCCATCCAGCTTCCAATGATTCCAGATGACTCAGCCCCTCCCTAACTGTTAATATGAGGCTACTCAAAAAAAGCACCTTGCCCCAAGGAGGGGGGGGAGAAAAGTCAGTAGTCTGTGGTCAGATAACTGGACTGAAAACAGTCCAGTCTTATACAGATTTTAGAAAATAAAGATAGATAATAAGCACATTTGCATTAGCAGGATATTCGTTGGTTGGGCAATAGTTACCTGTCCTCGCTGAATGAAACGTTCCAATGGAAGAAGGTGGGGGATAAAAGAAAGATACCCACTACTAACTAAAAACCCAAGAGAGGAGATCTTCTAATCAGCTTAAACAAACATCAAGTCTTAATCCTGCTAAACCCTTTACAAACTGAGTCAAGTTTAACATTATCTTTTCAATTCTTAAAATTTACTGTCATTAATACCCCAAATCATCTCATTTCAATGTTTTTCCAAGGCACAAATCAGAGTCCTTCAGCCTTCACTTCTCGTTGCCCCGTCTCTTTCGCAGTTTATAAGGACTTTTAGGAGCTGCTGCCCCTTTCTCTGAAAGAGAATCCTTTCCAGAAGAATCCGAGTCCAGCTCACCATTTGACTTACTGTCCTCCCCTTCTTTTTCTTCCTCCTCTGGCCCTCCCAACTGGCCTCTTAAAAATTCCCGAGCTTTCAGAACAGAGTCAATCTTTTTTTCCCCCCCTTAATATATAAGGTGAGGCGTTCGGGAGTTAGCCATCTATATCTAATTGAATTTGTCTGAAGAAAAAGTATAAGGTCTTTATATTTCTTTCTCCTTTGTCTTATTTCAAATGGAATGTCTTTTAGAACTCTGATGACATTTTCCCCAACTTTCAGGGGTATTCCAGATACTGCTTTCAGGATTACATCCCTCACATGCCTCTTCGAGAATATTACAACAATTTCCCCAGGCAGATTGTTTTTCTTTATATATCCTGAATATGACCTATAGGCCAGATCCATATCGCTTATCAACAGTTCCACCTTCATCTCTGTCACTGGGGCCAATACTTCACTCATCATTTCCTTTAGATTCTCTCCCTTCGTCTCTGGCATGCCCTGGAAGCGAAGAATCATATTAGCCTTTTCCATTTGTAATTGTAGCAATTGATCTTCTGTGGAGACTTGCTTCTTTTCCAGTTGTTTTACTTTTTTCTTCACCTTTTGGGCAGTGGCATCCACTTCTTTCACCTTCTCAGCTGTTTGATTCATCATTTTCAAAGTCTCATTTATCTGGGTTTGCTGGGCGGTGATACATTGAGTCATATTAGACATCTGTTCCTTGAAGTTATTCAGCTGGTCCATTAGAGGGAGCATGGATTCTGCCAAAATCTTTGCCAGCTCGTTGGTTCCTTCCGGTTTTGGGCTCTCCGTCACTTTCGATTTCAGCAACTTCTCCTTTTCTGTCCCCTTCCCTGCCATGTTTCTCTGTTTGTTTACTTTCACATTTTTTAAAAAAGTCTCTGAATATGCGCTTGAACGCTCAAACACTTCTTGGTAAGTACTTCTTAACCGTTTTAACCATTTTTTCTTCCGCTCCACCCCTCATTCACTCAAAAGTTCATGCGCATGGGAGGCATCCCTCCCCCACTCGCCTTAATCTCTGCTGTGTAGGTTAGAGTAGGGAGCTTTCTTTTTTCTTGAAATACCGCTTAAACTACTCACGTTCATAATCGGTCCTCGGACCTCGTGTACATTCTCTTTCGAACGCTCGATCTCCTGCACTTGCCCTGGTTAGCGTTGCTTAAGTCCATTCGGTCTCTCAGCACGGAGAACCGTTGGAACGGAGAAGTGCCTTAATTCGCCGGCATTCCACCATCGAAGAGGTGACCTCTCAGAAGTTCCATGGCCAGGGTCCCTTCAACCGGGTCCCTGGGGGGGTGACGAGCCTGCGCACCCCCTCCTTCGGCTGGAGCGCAGCTTCACCCCCTGGAGGTCTGGGAGGTGAGTCTGCTCTAGCGCGCCGCCATCACCGGAAGTCCCTTTCCTATTTTCTGTTATAGTTTGTAGTATTATAAAAAAATGCAATAAAAAATCCCCTCCGGGGGCTTTAAAAAAAAAAGGAAGAAGGTGGGGGGAGAATTAGAAATAAGGAGCACGTGTCCTGAACCAGCAGGGAACACATGGGACTCTGGCTGCACAGACCGAGAGTCAAAGATGGAGGGAGGGTATTGGGATAGCAAGATGGACATGAGAGGTATAAAGCTTAGATAGGGGTCATAGTAGAGAGAGAGAGCATGTGGTCGAGTAGCACCTTTTATAATGTGGGGGGGCAGGCTAGGCTGGCCACATCCCCCTGTGACACCTCCTGTTAGTCCATCCCATAAAACATACTATTGGGTGGAAGGAAAGGGGGAGGAGAGCCAGGGGTTCGTCAATATTGAGAGCTAGTAACTTAATCTGGGGCCTGGCACCTGGATGGAGGATAATTGACTCATCAGGCTACGGCTATTGTCTCTTGATGGCCCTAGCCGGGTCATTGATGGGCGATCAATCAGTTGCCAAGCAACTGCAAGGAGAGCCTAATGGCGTTTGGAGCTTTCTGTCCTCATGTTTGGGCATGGCATGGCGTTATGCAGGCTAAGAAACTGGTCCATCTCACATCAGGTAAGAGGGCAGGTAACCTCGGAGGACCACTGGAACAGCAACGCAAGGGAACGTTTTCTTCTTTCAGGTGTGCAGTCTCAACTGGCATCATATTGGGTCACCTTGCAATACAGTCCCTTAATCGTATCTTTGCATAGTCCATTTTTATTACTTATGAGCTATACTCCATAAGAGCACATTAAGTGCCTTGCAGGGCAACATACTATACTATTAAAGATATATTTTGTTTAACCTTTTTAATGTATGCTTGTAACCATAACCTTTTAGGCAGAGGGAGTTGCCCAGTTTGTTTTCTGGCACTCCAGGGGAGCGAGGGGAAGTGCCATTGCTGCTGAGTGAAGACTTGGGACAGCTGTGGGGGTTTTCCAGCCTCCCACGGACCATCCTGAAGGAACACGGAGGGCTTGCAAATGCTTTCATACACCCTGCATTGCTTCTTCTCCAAGAATATTCATCTTACTCTTGACTCACAAAAGTTTACATTGGAATAAATATTGTTAGTTTCTTAAGATGTCACAAGGTCACACACACGAAATAATCCACTTTCAATGCACTTTCCAACTGGATTTTGCCAGTTCACATATCCAGCTGGAAAGTGCACTGAAAGTGCACTGAAAGTGGATTTATTTTAGTGTGTATGATTGCAGCCAGAGACTGTGTTTGCAATGAGAAAAGGGAACCCAAGAAACAGATGGAAATGTGCTCATTTTGCATGAACTTCAAACGCTTTGTAAGGCAGGCAAATTGGAGGTCTCCCTCGCTCACCTTGCTTCTCCTTAGATTCTCTGCAGAGCATCCACACACAATCGGTGATGTTCAGGGATGCTGCTCCTTCAATGCATTTCTCACAGGACTCCAGATCTTTGCATTCTCCTGTGGGGAAAAAGAGAGAGAGACACACAGAGAGAGATTTCAAGGCATCAAATGTAAATCCTGCATTCACATTTTGGGTGGGGAAGAGAAGATGCAGGAAGTTAATACAATAAAGCTATCTCTCTTTATATAATAGTTCTGTTTTGGAGTGGCAAGATTCGATGCGCTCCCAAATCAATTGGCTGACTGAACTGCCACTCAGTAGCTGTTCCATTTTCCACTGGCTGCGTTGCCTGAGTCCCACCCACCCACGCACTGCTCAGCCTCTTGGCTTCAGTGGAGTGCGAGGCGATGGACCGGACGGATGCTTCGGCGGCCAGAGGCTGAGAAGGCCAATGCTGACCATGGTGGCACCACCGAGGCCAACCATGGCGGTGCCGCAGCACCCGTCGTCAGCTGTGCCTGGGTACAGATAGCCTCCCACCTTCAATGAGCTGCTTGCAGGGAAAAGAGGAAGCAAATCCAAGCCAGGAGGTCCCTTTCATCACCCAAGCTGCCTGCCTCTCCCTCCCCCGCCACTGGAGTGGAGTCTCACAGCCACACACACCCTAGCAGCAGTCACACAGAGCTCTTGCCCCCTGCCCCACCCAGGCTGCTGCTTCCCTTTCCTCTCCCGGACGGACGCTCGCTTTGCATGGCACCCCTTCCACAGGGGGGGGGGAGAAATGAACAGGAGTGGGGTACCACCAAAGCTTCTCTGTGGCCGGGCAATGTGAATCTCCTCCCAGGTGTCCTGGTAAGCACCACTTCTTAGGGTGCAGCGGGCAGCCTGGGGGCGCAAGTTGCCGCCCCGCATGCCTTCCCCTTGCCTGGCACGAAGCTCTGTCTCACGGTCCCACTCAAGGTCTCCGTCCCTAGCAGCCCCTTCTGCCCCAAGCGGTGTTTTGGGCAGCTGCCGAACCCCTTCAGGCGCTGTGTACCCCCTCCCCAGATTCTCGCCAGCCGGAGCGGCCTCAAGTGGTGATGGCAGCACCAGCACCAGGCGAAACCTTCTCGCCATGTTACCACCTCCGGCTCAGCGTAACTGGCCTCATGATTGCTGCCTTGCCTCCCCGTAGCTGGGCTGAAGAGGGTCCTTTGGGAGGTATCGCTTTGGTGCCCAAGATGCAGGTGTGCGCATTTTCAAGGTGGCAATCCCCCAGGGTAGGGCCGTCTTTCTGGTGCAAGCCGCCTGCCTGTAGTTGTGAGGAAGGAGCGCAAGATTTGCTTATAACATACAGGAAGGGGGCTGCAAGGGAGAGAGGTGCAGTCACCTCAGGGTGGTGGAAACTTTTAGATGCCAGAGTAGTAAAAGTCCTAGGGCACGGACACACGGGACCAGGCCATGCAGGCCTTTGCAAGTAAGGGCAATAAGTCTGTGCTAAACCAGTGAGCAAACCAAACAGAAGGTCAGGGATCTGAGAAAGGGGAAAGATGCACGGGGTGTGTGTGTGTGACTGGTATGTCTGCCAAAGTTTTTGCCAAAGGGGGCAACTTGGCAATAAGCTGATGCAGCAAGCAAAGTAAAGGGAGGAATCGTGATATTTCTTTATATAATTCTGTTACATATTGACCATTTCTGGCACTCCCATTGTCTGTGTAGTGCGCTCCATTGGCCCATCGGCTGCCACTCAAGGGTATTTGTGCGGCATTGCCTTGGTGCTGGGTCACTACCTCCTATATATAGGAAAGCCCTACCACCACGTTGTGACATCACCACTATGGCTACGAGAGTAGTCATAACATTCCCTGTGTGCTTATGTGGGCTAAGCAGAGGGCTGTTTGGTGTAATGATTTCAGTTAATTGGTTGTGTCCCTTTAAATGTGTTGTTGCATGTAGCAGAGTTATAGAGTTTGCAGTTTGCAGTTTGCAGTTAAGATAGTGAAGAATGTTTTGTTGAATATAGCAGATTTATAGGAGAATTTGGCAGTTTGAATTTAGTTGACGGACTGTTGAAGACTTCAGTAAAAGGAGGCTGTAGGTGTGAGAGCATTTGTTTGCATTTTTATGGCCCATCTTCCTGTCTCTTTGTCTCTTTGTTCTGACTGAGAAAGGGGGTGGTGGAAGAAGCCGACCATTCTGCCATTTCAGTTTAGCAGTGTGGATGTAGAGGTTTGTCTGCTAACAAACTTTAAATAAGAATCCCAACTGTCCTTCAGATCTGGATTAAATATGCCTTTTCGCTGAAAACGATGGTCTCTTTCTTTCTCCCGGACTGGTTTTCTCATCGCAAAAACGAGGGAGGATTTCTGGAGTTGGTTTGGGGGTTTCCACTGCTTCCTGAGTGACCCAGGGCTTTCTGGGGTTGTTGTTGGCGGTTTTGGGGGGTTTTTTTACACAGTGATCGTCTGTATTTTCACAGAAGAAAGAGGTGAGTCGATTCCCCGAAGCTTCCCT